TATTTCCTCTCTTTCAAACTCTAATGCCTGTGAAAACAGCAGCTCAACAGCCCCATGCCCCTGACTGATGTCCTGGCCAGTCCCCACCGCTCTGACAACAAAGCAGGTCCTATTTTGAAAGGCCACCTCAAAACCCAAGAGAATATTTTCCTTTCCCTCTGACCTTTCCAATGAAGCCTTGAGTGATGCTGTGGTTTATCACCTGAGCCAAGATGTCCTCGTGCCACCAGGGCCATCAAAGCCCCTTAAACAACACGTGCCATCCTGCTCTACAGGTGAGGTGTTCAGGCCTGGGGAGCACCACTGCTCCTGGGCCACCTCTGGCATTTATCAAGAGCAAAGATAAAACAACCCATGAAGTCACCTGTTGCTGCCTACACCTCAACTGCCACGTGCAGGTGAGTTTAGAGCAAACGGGCTGCACCCCCTGCGTGCTGAACGAGATCCACCTGCTGCACCCCCACCCTCCCCTTTGTCCTCTTTCTTTCCAGAGGCTGGGGGTGGCCTCACAATATTATTTTTTCTCTTGTTTTTATTCATCTGCAGACTTATAAATTATTTTCAAAATCACTTCAACCTAGTCACAGTAGTGAGGAAAAAAAAAAAACAACCAAAGAAACATCAAACTTGGGGGCCACGGCCACTGCTTTGAAGAGATCATTATAGCAAGTTCTTATTCCAGGGTAATTATCATGTTCTAACAAACATATTGAATAATTCGCTGCTATTATTTTGGCACTTCTTTGTGAACCAGGTGTTTGGGAAGCTGTTTCAGGCAGAAGCACACGGTGCAGTCCCTGGGGTCCTTCCTTCCCCACCAGCCACACCATGAGGAGAACCACGAATGCTTGGGCAAGGCTGGAGCTCCCCAGAGCCAGCAAAGCCCTCAATCACCAGCACAACATGCTGTGCTTTTACTTTTTTTTCATCATTCTCATCAATATTTCTCAATTTTCTAATTATACACATGGAGGTGTCTGAGCTTTCTCAGTTCAAGTAAGATTTATGTCTCTGGTCCATAAATCTCTGGTTATCTCTTAAGCTTTTAAAACATAGTCATATTTTTATTTATGCAAGACTATTAAAGAGCTGATTTTTATTCACATCACCATTTTTGCACTGCCTGTTTGCTGGGTGATTAATGAATGCAGAACCTCTCTCCACTCAATCCAGGCCGAGCTGCCACTGAGTCAGCTGTTCTTACCTGCAGGATTCTGGATGAGCAGAGTTGCAGCGGGTGCTGGCTTGGGGTGAGGTCCCTGTGCACGTGCTTCACCTGAGCCTGGAAAACACAAGTGTGGAGATGTAAGGAGGGTTTGGGATTACAGCCCCAGCAGCTGCATTTCCTGGGACACTCTGCAGGAACTCCAAAAAAAAAAAGAGTCATCTCATCAAGACTTTTTTCCACCCAAAAGTGGTGGTGGGAAAATGGCTGAGCCACTTCTGTATCAAAGTGGTGAGATCAGTAGAAAGAATTCACACCACCTTGGGACTTATTTCAAAGACATTTAAAGATATTAAACAAACCAGTGCCCGGGCAAGGGTGGTGTCTGTTGGGGAGGCAGCACAGAGAGCCTGAGGGGCGTTTGGTGTTTGAGAGGTTGGGGCAGCACAAAGGAGAGCAGGGCTGGGTGCTCAAAACATTGAAAAGGGCACACTGGCTTCGTGCCACATTCATAAACATGTCCATCAACTGCAGCCTTTGGGGAACAGGCTCCACCGAGACCAGTCACTTGCTGAAAACAAAGTGCCATTCTTTACCTTCCAACCCTTCAGCAAAGCAGCTTCTCTGCAGTGCAGAATGTAAAATCCACCCCCCACATCCACTACACCAGAGCTACTTAAAATTCACTCCGTAGTGAATTCTACAGCTCATTCAGGCTCAGCCCAGAGCTTGGGAACGGCCCTGTAACACGTGCAAATTTTCAGCTGAAGCAGAATTATGCTAAAACAACTGCACAAGGAGCCCAGCAGGTTTGGTGCAATCACATTTCACTAAAAAATCCTTAACCACGTGTGCAGGGAGCAAGGCAGATGGGGTGAAGGTCTCTACCTGCTACAGAGATTTGAACCCATTGGCACAGAGACATTCCAGCAGGTCCCAGAACCCCCTTCTCCATCCACACACTGCCTGCCTTCTGCTCTCAGTAAGAGTGCTTTTGGGGGCCACCACAGGATTTAGCAGCTCCAAGATACTGACTGTACTAAGGATCTTTTGTTTTCAGAATATGTAGAGCAGTTTTTCCGCTCACTGGCACAAGCACAGCCCCCTTTCCCCTGAACCCCAGAGCCAAACCCCAGGGACAGACAGTGGGACACAACCAATCTCTCCCCGTGCCACCAGCACCTCTTACCTGAGCACAACGACTCCAGGAGCTCCACGTCGCTCTGTCCTCACCCTGAAGCTGCTCTGGGGGGAAGGAGGGACCAGTACAGGTGTCCTGGGTTTGCAACTGCAGCTCAACTTACCGACTTCCACCTGGCCTCAGCCACCTGCACCTGGCACCACCCCGTGGCACAGCCCGCACGCAGCTCCTCAGTTTAGCACAGAACAAAGAGCCAAGCTCACAGTTCTGGGATTTTTTTTTTTTTTTTTTTTTTTAAAGACACCTGGCAAGAAAAGGAAGAAAAATGCAGGACATGCAGCAAATTTCTCAACCGGGCAGGAAACATTTCCGACAGCTCCTTCAAGGCAAAAACTGCCCCTCGCAGCTTTGGTCAGGAAAGGAGAGCAAACAAGGGTGGGATTCTATAATTTATTACCATTGCTAAGATGAACACAGATACTTGATACCCCATCGTATGCAGAACTGTAAAAAAATAGTTTTAATACAGTATCAAAATTTACACAAGTGAAGTGTCAAAAGACCAGTGTCCCTCGAGTCGCCCCTGCAGGCACAAGTACAGGTGTCACAGCCGTCCACACACACCCAGATAGGAATACAACAATTGCAACTCAACTGCGCAGCGGGAGAAAACAACGTGGAGAGCTAACACACACCGCCTGGGCCGGGTTCTGGGGCAGAAATCCCGCAGCAGGGCCGTGCTCCAAGCAGAAGGCTGGATTCTGGATTCCGCATTCCCAACTCGAGCAGGAGGAGCGAACGGCAGCTCTGCCCGAGAAAGCAACGCCGGATCGGAGGCCTTACATCCAGTGGCACCGAGGGGAAATAACAACAAACCCCAACAGAATCACCGCCGCAAATGAACACGGCTTTGCTGAAGACAGGTAGCAGATTTACATCATCTAGACAACAAAGGATTGTACAGCAACCGAGCCACGTTCCACGGCAAACAAACCACGGTCCAGGATGTCCAAGCTCAGAGAAAACACAGCTTTGGCTCCAATCTCAGCAACCAAGAACAAACCAGAAAGCCAGGAATTGTTGCATTCCTATTTTTTTTTCCTTTTATTGTTGTTTTTTATTAGTCTCTTTTTTTTTTGACGCTCAGCTATGGTAAAAAGTGAAGCAACAGCCATTCAGTCCCAAGCCTGTTGCACATTCATACATGAAACTATCATTGCTCTTAGATATACACAAAATACCTATGTTGTAATTCAATACACACAACTAGTGTCATACACAGAGATAAAAATAAACTAAGCACATCTAGGGCGCCGTCTGGTCACATCTCAGGCAATCTGAACAAGAGCTTTCTGCCTCGTAATAATGAAAGACATGCTCTGAGGATAATAAACCCCTATTTCTTTGAAAGAACGCTACAGTGGCAAGGAAAGCTTTTTTTTAATAATGCAGTGCAATGTTTTGGATCCTTACAGGCTCTTGTTAAATAAACCAGCACGTCTCTAAATTGAACATTTAGAAATTAGCATCCTGACAGCTGGAAAATACTTTCCAAAAGGAATTCTGATGGAGATTGTGATCTGAGAGACCTGTGCTAGCCATGCCTAAGTATTCTGTTCACTAAAGGGCTGCCAACACCCTACACCTCTTCAGAAGATGTGCATCAAGAGAAAGCTACCTCGACTTTCCTTTAGAAAGAAATTGTGGGTCACTACAAGGACTGTAGTTGTGCTACACTACCGGCTGGTTAGGACTTTGTGGTCTTTTAGCACCTCCGAAGGCAGGTTAATCTACCAAAGCAAAGGAATCACCTGGGAATTGCCTAAGCACCATTAACGGGTCCTTTACAGGCTGAAGGGGGGGTTACTAAGAAGCGACTTTCTCAGAACTGCGGAGACCAAAGGCACAGTTTATCCACGTCTCTCCAACCTCTCTCAGATCCAGCGGAAAACTCGTTCACACCTCTCAGAGACTCGCTGCAACCAACCCAAATAAAACTTATTTCGCGTAGCTCCTGCAGAATCCCAAGTGTGTGTGGAGTTAGGATGGAAATACCTCAGTGCTCCTAAGGGTGGAGTGTTGCAGAGAGGGTGCAGCGTGTCACTAGGCAGGATGTTGGAGCAGCAGGGACGCTGGCAGCACGGACAGCCCCCTGTGCAGCAGCTCTGGTGTCCAGCTGAGGCTCGTGCAGTGCATCCACGCACCCCGTCGTCAGTGGGAATGTGGGGGCAGCCAGTTCCTTCCCTCTCACGGGCACTTCCAACTCCTGCTCTTCAGGGAGGCCGTTACATGGGTCCTTTATACTGATTTCCTGACAAGTGTTGCCTAATTCCAGGGCACGACCCTGCAGCATCTCCAAGTTTCCTCCACACAACCTGCAGGGAGGGATGGAAGGAGATGGTTATCCCGGGTGGGGGCGCAGCGGCGTTCACACGGACATGCAGCTGGAACGCCACAGGTCTGGCACATGCACACAGGGCAGGGACACACAACAGGAGCACAGGATGATCCTCGGGGGCACGACATTCCTTCTCAACACACAAAGCACATGCTGCTGGGGAGAAATGACCAAGAACAGACACAGATGGACCAGCACGTGCAGCGCTGGGATATTTTGTGCCTCAGACACGAGACTGGGGGGTGTTTGAAGGCCTCGACTCTTTCCCCAACCACATCTCCTGCCCAGCGTGACTCAGAAGCACACAGCTCAGTCCAGAGGTGTCTGAACACGGACAGTTCAACAAGCACTGAGCAGCTCTCCACTCCTTTCAAGGGATTTACTTGTTCTCTTATAACCAAGCAAGGCACTGGAAGTGTTTCTTTGCCTAGGTCTTCCTTGAGGTCCGAGGGACTGTGCACGCAGTCCCTGTGCTTAACATCGTCTCTTACACTGCTGGAATTAAAAAGGCAGAGAAGTGACACCCCCAAACATTTCAGGAAGTGAATGATTTATGGGAAGTCTGCTGGACTATGAGCAGGAGAGCAGTAGCTGGTGTTGTGTCACCAGGCCTCTCTAGAGACAAGAATGGTGATTCCACCACCCTGTGTACTGCAATTTCTGAGTATTCCTGTTTAATAATAATCCCCTCACAACCAGCTGAAGTGTAGTTGCTACTAAACCACCCATCAACCTCTGGCAACCATCAACAGCAGCACGGCTGTCAACAAAGGTAAAACTGGTTTCCATTGTCATTATTTATTGATTCACCAGCAGCGAACAGACACTGCATTAGCCCCATGCTCACTAATACATGACAAACTACCTCTAAACCTGCTGCCACACGTGGCTACATCCTGCAAAAACATTCCAAATACAACCCCAACTGCACACACACGTGCTGAGGAGAGAATTCCCACCTCTGTGATCTCCACAAAACACCAGCATGGTCACGTAGCACCGTCAAGTTCCTCCAACACGAATTACACATCCACCTTTGCATTCTGCATGATGTCATTAATTTGGTACCGAACTGCATCTTGGTACCAATGCAAACTGTGCATCAAAATTAGGGAGCCCCAAACTGTCCCCCATTCCACTGTTTTCAGGGGGAGAATGATGCCCTGGCAAACGTTCCCTGTGAAACACCCCCAGTGCACGAGGCTGCAGACAAACAGCCTGGCAGGAACAGCAGATTAGAATATACATGGTAATTGGTTTATCCCAAATCCACTGTGCTTTTAGCCTGCACTAGGTGGGTATAAGGGAAAGCAAAACCAGAAGGGAAATAACCAGCTGCTTTAAAAGTATAATAATGTACCAACAGCGAAATCAGGCCGAGATTGTGAAAGTCAGAGGGACAGGGAGCGTTCCAGTGGCAGCAGCAGAGCTTTGAAGGGCTGGGAACAAAGGGACAAGGCAGGACGCAAGTACGTATCTGAGAGTTACCAAAATGAGGCCATAATGTCAAATTTAGCATTTTAGAAGTGGCATTACTTACACCACAAGGAATTCTATGGATTACCCTTAAATCTGGGTGAGTCAGAAACTGCTCTTTTAGCCGTAAATCGCGAAGGGATATCCGAGGCTGGAAAATTCATAAGGGCCACTGCTCAGGTGGGGAAACTGAGGCTGCCAGGCTTCATCCCTCTTGCCAGCTTTCACTCTTAGGAAGGATGAATTCAGGTCATACAGCACTTTACCCACATAGATTTATTTTTGTGATCAATACTAACCAACATGTTAACATTATAGTGCTCCTAATAAAACAGTAATTGCATTACAGAAACAGTGATTGGCTTGATTTCCATGGAAAATCTTCAAGGGCATATTATATTGTCAGCATTTAAGCCAAAAATGCTTTGCATCTTCAGGTGTTTCCAGGCCCAACATGGAATACAAAGCTAAACACCTTAAACTTTTACTGCACATTTCTCCAGCCTCAGCTTTCTCTGTGTCACTAAGGTGGTGTTAAGGGAGCCTTTAACAGCCCTGGTGATGGATGTTTTCCTGAGATCCCAAGCCATGGGCACGTTTGAAAAGAAGGGAATTTCATTTTACACATTTCTTTGGCAGCCACAAATAAGACCAGTAGTGTAAGTGTAGCCTCTAAGTAGTCAGACTTCCAGACCTGCAGACAGACCAGTAACAATCACCATTCCATACCTAAAAACCCCGGTCTGCAACATCACAAGCAGGAAGTTTGGCCAGGTACAGCTTGCAAAAGGAATCAAACACATCCTGCCGTGAGAAATAACCACTTACAGACCCCCAGGGATCCCACCTGCACTCCAGGAATAACGGGGAGGATTGCCAAGGAGCCATCCAGCCTGAGGGAGCAGGTCCTGGGAGAGCCTTGTCGGACCAACTGCACGGCAAAGCTCTGCTCCTGCTCCCACTCTCTCCACCAGTATGAGATTCCCAGGCAACTTTCTAAAATTTCATAATTTTTTTTAAGTCTCCTCATCACTTAGGAAAGCAAAAGCGGTACTTTTAGCAATTACCTCCCTCTGTTCTCTAATGCATCTGCCCCTTTCAAACACACTCCTGCTCTGGGATTTCCTGCTGTGACAAGTGGGTTGCACTAACAAGGGGGTTTCATAACAAAGGCTGTTCCCCTGCTGCAGGAATTCCAAATTGCCAAATTTGGACAGAAAAGCAGGCTCCTGATGTGCGCTTGTTCTTCCTCCTGCCTCTGATTGTGCCCAGTGGTGCAAGTGGGAGCTGTGCCTCCCCTGGAAGGCGGATCCATCCCCTATCCTCACCGGGAACCAGCAGGGTGTGCTCCCTGGCTGGGCTGGGCAGGCTGTTGAGCTGGCAGCTCACTCTCCATTTCCCATTTATTTAACAGTTCATTTCCATCTCCTGCTGCCTGCTGCACTGCCTCCTGGTGAACGGAGAGCTGAGCTCTCACCTCGTGCTGCACTAAATGCTGTGTATTCCTTACCAACCCATTTCAGCCACCAGAGCCACGAGCTGCTGCTCCCACACTCCACTTACGCACACCGCTTGTTATTACAGGTTGTCACCAGCACGATGGTAACGCTCCATTCAGGGAAGGGCCTTTGCCAGGGGGTGTTTGAAGAGAGCTACAAAAGGCTTTTTTCCATAATTACCCATGTTCTCTTGACAAAGTGACCTGGCAGGGCTTTATTTTCTGGGCAGCAGCAGGTGGGATGTATGGAATATCCACGGAGGGCTCGGAGTGCTGCTGGGACAGGCACTCCTGGAGCTGGGAATGTCGTAGGAGGGCAAGGGCAGAGCTCTGGTGGGCAGAGCTGCTGACAGGGACATGGCTGGGGAGGCCACCCCAGAGGGGACCTGCCACTGTGGGAAGAGGGGCTGGAGCTCTCCCAGCTGCCTCTCCCCTTTGGATGCCAGGAAAACAGCCTGTGGGGAGCAACACCTGCTTGTCCTGCTGGATACTGAGGCAGTTCAGCTGATGAGAGGCACAGGAGACAAGGGGGGCACAAAGCACCAAACCCACCACGTCTGAGCCAAAACAGGAGAGAGGGACATGCAGTCCCTCTCAGCAATCCCTCAGTTTTTATCCCCCTCCAGAGGAACGTGGACACCCCTGATGCCTGTGCTTGCAGTGAGCTCAGCCATTGCTGACTCCCATCGCCCCACAAACCTTTCAATCTTGTAACACCTCCTAAGTTTCTTTAATTGCAGCAGTTTCACTGCTGACAGAAGCGAGAACTTGCAACTCTACCCCTCTGATTCCTTGTGTCACTTGCTGTGTATCAATGTCACACAGGCCTCTGCAATCCAGGCTTCGGGGTACGGCACATCTGCTCCCAGAGCAGCGTCACCACTGACCTTGGGACCGTGGTCTTCAGCCCCAGGCCCTGCTATTTTTAACATGAACACACCACGTGCCTCCGCTTTATCTTCGCATCAGAGTGTTCCCCTGTGCAGGAACCCACTGCATCCCACCTGAGCACAAACACGGATCCTCCACGCAGCAGAAACACCTCCTTATTCAGCAAAACCCCACGTTCGGCTTCAGAGGAAAACTACAGGGGTGAGTAGGGTGGGGAGCAGAATCCCCCGGTGAGGCCCAGCTCCCTGCCCAGCAAACACACAGGCCACACAGACAATGGGTGACAGACAGAAACAAGCCCACTGATGACAGGAACATCCCGGTGGCCCCACGGGGATGTCGGCAGGACAACAGGACACGAGCCGAGGGACAGACAGGACGCGTGGCAGGGCCGGCAGCGGAGCAGCGTTACCTTCAGAGCATTTACCACTGAGTCAGGCTGCGCAGAGGCTGAGCCATGTCCCCCCACGCTGGCTGGCTGGGCGGGGCAGGGCCTCCCCTCCGCCCCGCCGGGCATCCTACCGGGCTCCTTCGGAGGAGATCAAACACTCCTTAATACACAGCAGGCTGATTACAACGTGCCAGTTACTCACTGCTCTCCTCTCCAAGGCTGAGGAGCGCTGAAGGGGTGTGGTTACTCCCAAGTCCCCCTCTCTCTGTGCCACAGGAACCAAGATCCACGTGAGGGTCACTCTGGCCCTCAGGGGTGTTCCCCTGGAAGGTCAGCACGCAGCAACAACATTTCTCATCTCTAAATCAAAATCTCTCACAGAAAGTGCTGCAAAGTTTAGAGAGATGATTCCAACCCCAGAGGCAGGTTTGGAGGATGTCTAATTTTATCCTGATAGTTCTGGGGGTTGTTCCCTCAGCAAAACTCCCCTTTGTGAACGTTGCTGCAAGGTTTGTGAGCCCAGCTCAGCCACAGCCGGCCAGGGAAGGAAACAGCTCCGGGCTGACAACTCACTCCTTCCCAGGGTGCCAGGGCACGGCCCCCTTTGCCTTTGCCCAGAGCAGTGGAGGTTTAGCCCCTCACAGCGACTGCAGAACATTAAGGCTGCTCAGGACATTTCCCCACAGCACCAGATGCCAATTTGTCCCCAGCAGTGACAACCTCAGGGGTGTTTTGCTCCCAGGGAACACCTGGAAGGGTTTTTTCAGGCCACTGCCAGACAAATGTAAGCTACCTGAACTGCTCCAGCTCAGCCTCCTCAACCTTTGCAGGGTGTGAAGCATCTCCTGGAGCGACTGCAGTGCTGAGGTAACCTGAGAAAGCTTCAGAGAGTGCTAAAAATACCCCTGCTGCACTCGTGGGCAGCCATGGGATCCCTGTGGATGCTCCTGAGGTGCTCCCAGCCTGCCCTGCTCCTCACCCTCAGCCTGCAGGCAGAATTGTGCTTAAAAACAAATGAGGAATATAAAGAAGGAAAACACTTCAAAGACTGAGAGATGGGAAGTTCCTTTCTTAAAGAGTAAGAAACACCATAGGAGCCATTAAGAAGTAACACAGCGGTAATCCCTGCTGGGATGAGTGGGAAATGCATTTCTGAAGGAGAAATAATGACAGTGGAAAGAGCCTCTGCTCAGAGTCAGTGCCCTGATGGGCACTCCTTTGTCCCACCGAGCAAGCACACACAGAACATTGCAGTGTTTTCGGGGGTGTCTCTGATCTAAACGACAGGAGAGATGAAGGTGGGTGCGGGAGAGAAAGGGCACAGAGTGACCACACGAGGCTGAGCTTCACAGACCCAGAGTGCCTGAAAAGGAGCGGGAAATCACACAGGCCAAGCGAGCTTCCAGTGTGCTGGGACACGGCCAGGCCTCTGCAAGGCTCACAGCACTGCCAAAGGGCAGGGAGAACCCTCCCAGCCACCCAACACATCGACTCAGCCTCCCCCCTCCTCTGCAGGACTGAGCCCCGCACATTCACAAACCCCCCAGAACAAGCAGTCAATCGATAACAAATCAACAGAACGCTGCATATGCCAAACCCACACAAGAGGAGCCGTATGCCTGAGTCTGAACCCTCGTTTCATGCACAGGCTTGTCCAGAGCAGGCCCCCTGCCAAGCAATGGATCCGTGGGCTCCACACGAGGGGCACTAATGGATCCCACCGCATCAGCCTGCACTCCGCCCAGCACTGATGGTATCAATTTGCTGTGAGGTATGGAACGGGCTTTGGGGCTTATTTTGCCTGGGGAAGGATTTATAGATCTGTTAGAGACCGGCCAGACTTAATGCTGTGCTTTGGGGAAGGAAATGAAGGAGGGAGGAGAAGGGGCAACAGAGCAGACTGGAGCAGTTCTGGGTTAGGATAAATTCACTCAGTCAGCTTTGGGGTTTTTGTAAGTCAGGGTATCCTGTTTCTTTCCTAACTCCAGGACCAGCAAAGATTTCGGTCAGTTTGGAACAGCAAAGCAGAAATACTGCCATGAAGAGGCTGAGCAGATGAGCACAGACTGCACACGTGCAGCCTCCTGAACACAAGGAACTCCAAAGCTGCTGCGAGTGGCGCTGCTCGCCGAGTTCAAGCCCCGCTCCAGGCACTGTGTGTCCTCCACAGCTCCTCTGTGCCACATGCAGCACAGCTCTGCCTCCCTTCACCACAGCACTTGTGAACACACCGCTTCAAGCAGCCAGTGTTCCCAGCACATCTTGGGAGGAGACTCAAAATTAGTATTTCCCCCGTGGACATCCTTCTGCCTCTGTCCTTGATAAGGGACATGAGCTTCTCTTTAAAAAGAAGGCAGATTTTGCAGCCCTGAAGGCCCATCTCAGGCTCAGGGGCTTCTCATCTCAGGTGAGGCCGCTCCACTCCTTCTGTGAGGGCAGATTATTGCAGCGGATGATGGGGATGGCACCAGCCTGGAGGTGGGGCCTGTGGGGCTGGAGACACCCCTGCACTACTGATGAGCTCCCGAGGCAGGGAAGCCAAACAGGAGGAAAAGGCCCTTTGCCAAAGGGGCCCTGGGGATGGGAGGTGCTGCTCCCTCCCTGCTCTTCCCTGGCTGCACACACGGCCCTCGCACTCAGCCACTGGAGGGAGGTGTGACAGGCATAAAGCTGTGCAAGTGGAACCAAACCAGCCCTGGCTCCAACTGCTGCAACCTGTGTCAGCTTTACCCATCCTGAGCACCCGGGAACAAACAGCACTGCCCAACATCAGCACCTGAGAAACAACTGACTTTTCTGCTGCACTTCCAGAGCCACCCTTCCCTGCTGCCCTGGCCAGCACAGTTTGGTGTTGTGAGATGTGTCCTCTGTGCAGATCACACCTCTGCAGGGAGCAGGTAAAACCCACAGCATCTCCTGGGCGTGGCTTCCCACAGGGATCAGAGTGAGATCACTGACTGGGCACATCATTTTCTGTCAGGAGGAAATCTACACAATATCTGATGCCAATACAGACTGCAGGGAATGGAAAGCACAGGACACCTGACTGAACCCTGTAATCTCACCTCCCAAAAAGCCCTGAGGAAATGGGAATCCAGTGCCTCACTCACACTGAGTGCAAAATGTTGAGGCTGCTCAGGCCACTTTGCCCCAGTGCCAGGGGCAAACCCTGCACTGTGTCCCGGGCACGGGCAGAGTAAAGACCCCTGTGTGGAACAGGGAGAGAATTAACCAGGAGCTGTTCTACTCAAGCCAGCAGAAAACTTCATTTTTTCCATCTGCACTGTTGGTAAGGACAGTCCTGAAGGAAAACCCCTGTAGTGCCAACCCAAGCCAGGAGGAAAGTGCCTTCCAGCCCCTCCAGAGGAAACGTGGGAGAGCCAAGGAGGGAAAACACAGCCCCTGCCTGCCCTGAGGACACTCACTCACCCCACCAAAGCTGCCAAGAGAACAGGGCTTTCCTCTGTTCACTCACCCTCAGCAAACACACAGGACCTCGTTCTCCAGCAGCCTCTTATCCCACAGGCAAGTGTTTTCCCGGGAAGAACATCCTTCCTGCTGGGTAAGTGCCACACCAGCTCAATCACTACCTGATTCTCAAAGCGTTTTCCTGATTTGCTCAGCCCTCAATTTCCCTGTCCAGCTCCAAGCAAACACAGGCTGTGTTTGTCAGCTCGTTTCCAACAGGCAGGAGAGGGGAAAACCAGAAAGCAGTAACTGCTCTGCTGGATTAATAGTGCACTTAAAGAACAGCAACAACTCCTTTAAGGAGGGTTCCTGTCAGTTAAAACACACAATGTTCAAACGCTGCCATTTTTCACCTGTTCTCACAGAGCTCAGGAGAAACCCCTCGAGGACATTGCTGCCCAAATCCACACCCCCTCACAGTGCATTTGAGATCCCGAGTGGCCAAAGGCATTGCTGGCTCCACACCCTCAGGGACAGGCACTGCCAGCAGGAAATCCCCTCCACAACACTCCTTTGATGATGAACATGGAAGAGAAAAAGGTCCTGGGCTGGAACAGCTCCCAGTCGTGGAGGCCACACACTGAAAGACCACCAGCATTTAAAATATGCCAGATTCGGTGGAGCCTGCTAGAAAATCATCAGTGCAAAGTGACTCCAGACCTTTGGAATAAAAAATACCTGCACTCCCTGCACTGCAGGTCCTTGCACACCAGGATTTTCTTGGATTTGTATCTGGGTAACATCAAGCCCGTGAGCTTTTGCCAACCTGGATGGACACCCTGGAACAAAGACTGGTCAGAACCTCGGCTGCTGCAAACTCGAGTCCTCTATTAATGACCTTTTAATTCAAACTGAGGATGAGAGCACATGAAAGAACTGGGTGGGTGGATGCTCTTGCTTTACTCTCTTTCAGCAAATATTTGATGACAAGATTAGGAAACATGAGTTTGTCCAGTGTGTTTTAATTACATTTTGGTTGGAGGATCCCCTATTCTGTGCAAGGGAGGAGACAAGCAGTGTTGGACTGTGAGTGACACGGATTTTACAAAAAAAACCCCACTAACCAAACAGTTCCCATCTTCTAATTAGATTTATAATTAAAACCATGCCATGCAGAAGCAGAATAAAAAACACAGATCTCAGCAAAAGGTTTCTGTAAGATTTAGGAACGGGTTGAAGTAACACATGATAATCCAATGAAGGGGGAAGAAAGAAGGAAATGGAAAGTGTTGGAAGGGCTTAAAAATAAAGCAATGTGTGCCCAAGAGTCACACCTGCCATTTCCCAGGTAAACATTCCAGGACTGGAAACGGAGAGCGAGGATGCAAACCCCCCCAAAAATGCCTGAAGCAACAGTGCAAATGAAAGAGAGACAACAAAAACAGATGGGAAAGGACCAAAGCCTTGGAAAGGGAAGAATAGGGAAGAGGCAGCAGAGAGGGAGCAAAGGGCTCTGGTTCAGCCTCCTGGCTTCGCTCCTGGGCTGTGGAGCAGCTCAGCTCCCTGGCTCCAGCCTGCACTGGCAGCCTGTCTGCAGCACCCTGCCAGTGCTTCCTTCCCGGCACTGAGAGGGGAGCTGAGTTACAAGGACAGACAGTTGGAAGGGGGGAATGTCTGTCAGCTCTCCCTCCTGCCTCCTGCCCCCTCCTCCCCTGAAACAAATACGGAGCGAAGCAGTTTGAGGTGGGTGACTTGCCAAGTTTCTCTTTGCAAACGCATTCCCTGTCACTGTATGACAGATGTCCACATTTCCACAGCACTTCAGCTGAGCTGCTCAGCCCTGAAACACCACTCCTACAAAAATCCAGGGCTATCTCCAGCTAACTGAGGTGTGGCTGCCAGTTCCTGCCCCGGCTTCCCTGGCACCAGGCGGGGACAGCAGTTACACCCCTGTAACAGCCCTGTGCTCGCCATCTGAGGTCACTCCCCGACACAGCAGGTCTGTCACAGCCCAGGGAGTGTAAATGGGATCCAAATCCATTGTTTGGTCCCTACCTATTCCTCCCCACAACACACCCAGGCCCTGGTTGTGAGTGCAGGGCTGCTGGGACAAGGTGTAGCAGCGGGCACACCCCACCCACAGCTCCTCCTTAAAGCCACCCCTCTGCTCTGAGCAGCACAGGGACACAGCAACAGGCTTCAGTGGATATTCCCGGGTTTATTCCTTTCCTATCACCTGATCAAACTCAAATACTGACTCACTGGTGGCTCTGCAATTCCCCTGATGAAGCAGCCCTTGGGTATAGCAGAGTGAGCTACGACTCGGGTTCCACTTGAACAGGGAGGGCAGCACGTGAAACCATTCTCTCTGGAAACGCTCTTGCCACTAAATATTAATAAAACCTTTACATTAGAGGTCTGTGGGGGTTTGGAAAGAAGAAAGCCAAGCTAATACATGTGGAGGGAGACGAGCAAAGCAAAAGAAATTGGGCAAGAACCATCCCTGTGTGACAGGAAGGGAGTGATTTGTCTGAAGAGGTGTCAGCAAATGTGTCAGTGCTTTTTCACGAGTGACAGAAAGCAGAAAAGGGGGAAAAGAAAGGATGTTGAAAGCTGAGAGGGAAAAGAAGGAAAGTGTGGCAGAGGAGAGGAGAAAGCCTGGGACAAGGCCAGGGCTCTTCAGTGCAGACTGAGCAGAGGTGTCACATGAATGAGTTGTCACCTCTCTGTCCCAAGGGCAATCCTGCAATTCCCAACCCCTCCCAGTGCTCCAGCACTCTGTCAAAGAGGGGCTGTGCAAAAGGCCCAGCTGAGATTTGAAGGCACAGCACTGTAACCGAGCTGGGGCTGTGCCACAAACCCTCCCCAGCTGTGGAGCTCAGGGTAGCTTTTCAGATTATTTGTCAAGAGCACTTGGTTGGGCTTCACGCCCCACAAATTCCCATTCCTCCCACAAAATGGAATGGAACCGGTGCCAGGAGCTGATGCATTCCCACCCTGCACCCTTGTCTTTGTGGCAGGGCCTGACCACCAGTGAGAGCACGTTCAGGGGGTACCCACAGGAACAACAACCCCCAGAACTGACTCAGGCAAAGGGAACGTCCGGGTGATCCAGCCCTCAGTGGGATCTGGGAATGCACTTTGAGGGGCTCCACCTGAGCCAGCCAGACAAATAAACATAAAGCACACAGCCACTTGCAAGGCTTTGCACACTAGGAATGTCCTGAACTATTTATCCCTTAGCCAAGACAAAACATTTGCCTTGAAAAACACTCTTGAAAAGAAAAGAATATTCTTTGTCTCTGAGGACCAACCTTTGTCTTTGCTACTGAAGACTGTTCACATCTTAATGGACAGACATTTCTCGCTGTCCCTCTTTTCCAGATCCAAAAATTAGGGTAGAGAGAAGTGAACTGCTCAAGGTCACCCAGCAAAGAGCTGCAGAGGCCCTTCCAACTGTCATGGATTTTATGGAGTTATGGATTTTTCTAGGGCTTATTTAATGAAATATAAGAGAAATATATTCTATTATGTATGTGCAGATCTGAAAAGTTACAAGTGTCTTTCATTCATTTTTAATGAACCACTAAATTTTTTCTTAAAAACGTATTGGAAAACCCCTTCAACTTCATACTTGCTTATTTACTTAATTTCATTTCAGTCTTGCATTTATGTTTCTAATATACTCCTCAAAGTATTAAAAATTATATAACCCAGTTATTATTACTTATAGCATTTGCATTTTTAGAGCCAAATACTTTGGTTAACTGTCAAAAGTAGATGATATTTCAACAAGGAGCTCTTGGGATAAAACCAGAATGCAAAGGGTCAGTTCAGCGTGATTTTTAACCCGTCAGTTAATTAATTACAAGTAGGGGGTTCCAGGAGTTTTTCTAGCAAGGGATCAACTCCTGCAAAGGAAAAACATGACAGAAAAGCATTGCCACGGCCGTAAATCAATCCCCCACTCACACACGAGCAAGATGAACGAGGGGCCTCGATCTGTGAGAGTTTAAAGGGGGATGCCAAGGAATCCTGATCCTCTCCCCGGCACAGGACTGGAGCAGGGCTGTCTCCCTGCCAGCTCCTGATCCCACAGCAGAAGTCACCCACCTGGGGCAGCATGCGATTTTCCTCCTCCAGCTGTCTTACTCTGGCCTCCAGCTGCCTAACATAGGACAAGGTTGAGTCTAAAAAATCAAAACAGAAAAAAAAGACTCGTATTATCCACAGAGATCTGCTCGTGTTCACTGGTGCCACAGCCTGGGCCACGTCCTGCCTGTGCTCACAGCACACTGCCTCTCTCCAGCTCCAGGGAACATCCTGCTCTGCTCCTCCCAGGGCAGCACAAACAACGCTGGCACTGGAGTTAATCAGCTCCTTGCTGCTTGGGATTCTAAACTGCTGCACTTGGGGAAAGACCACACAGACCTGAGTCCTTCCAACCCACCCCCTGAGCTCTGCGAGCCTGGGCTGCGCTCTGGCAATACCCCCGAGGATAATGGGGGCACACCCGGGGGCTCTGCCAGGACAGGCTGTGACAGCAGCCACTCCCAGTCTGCCCCCCAGAACCTGGGGTAAGAGGAGATCCCTGATCCAGCCCTGAAAGCACCCGAGAGCTTCACCATCACTCATTTCTGGGGTCACTCGGAATTTCTGCTGTTGAAGTCCTGTGTCCGAGAGAGATCCGTGTCTGGGAACACAGCACTCAGGGGTAAGAAAAAATGCATCTTCTAAGAAAAAAAAGGTATTTTCTGTGGTAAGGTACTCTCACTCTGCTGTGCCTCTTGCCTGTGTGTGGAATCCCACCACGCTCTCACTCCTGACTCAGCGATCCACTCAACTTTCTTGGAGATGTCAGTTCCTGTCACACATTCGGGCTCACCCTGCCACTCAGTTAGCACAGTTATGATTACTGGTCTGGAATCCACGGCTGTCAGGGCGGTAGTGCCAGCTGATCCAGCCCTGCCCAGCTGCACTGACAGCAGAGCTGCTCACCAGTGTAGACTGGCAGATGAATCTGAGCAGGAGTTTCCTGTGGCACCTCATCATGACTCCAGCGTGCCCGTAAAATGGATGGGGATTCAGGTGTCACTGACTGCTCTTAGAGACTGCAGTAGTTAAATATGCATGGGAATTTACACAACACAGAGACAACACACAGTCATTTGTCAGAGCTGATTAATACCCAGCCCGGCCCTGGATCAAAAATAGCCCGTGCAATAAGAGGGAAGGGGGTGATGTGAGGTTCTGCTCGCTCTGCTGCATCAGGCCTTTCCCAGCTGGTGACAGGGCATCTCTGGAGAGCCCTGAGCCCGGCTCAGATGAGCACTTAGGAGAGGAACAGCTAATTCAATTAACTGCACACGACAGGGCCCCTCCCACCACATCAGCTCCCTCCCAGCACGGTCATTAGCGTGGGCAGCAGCTCCCGTTAGCACGGGCAGCAGCTCCCGGCACATCCCATCTCTCCTCCCCGCTGTTTCCCGCACGGGATGGTTCCTGAGGACCCATCTTTTCGGAGGGGCTGGCCCAGCACTTCCTCTGGCACTGCCAGCTCTCAATTCCTTGCTCACAAGCCCGCAGGCAGGTGAGCTCTGGCTCACACTTCATGCTCCACTCCAGTTCCCAGCTGTGCCCTCTCCATGCAAACTCCTTTCTGGATTCTCCTCAACTCTTTTATCTTTTAGAGTCCTCTGGTTTACCATTTCCCAGCTCCTCAGATGATGCACCTCTTGGCTAAATCCCTCTTCTTCTTTGTCCTCTGGGAGTGCAGAGCGGGGCTCTCTGCTCCAAACCACACTGCTGTGCCTCAGTTCCCAACCTGCCCGTGCCAGCTGCCAGCAGCTGAGCCCCTGGGTAACCCTGCTGAAGTGTGAAACACTTCTTTAAATCTCTGCCTGCAATCTGATTAAAAGGGGAAATTAGGCCACCTACCAAAGGCTTGAGCAAGCAAACCCTAACTTCTGTGAGTCTTCCTGACACATAGACTAGACACATATATATTTCAGGATCTGTTAATATATTTATGCTGTGATGCCACGAGCTTAGAGGGGAAAATGAGCAGAGAAGTCAGCCAAGGACATAAGAGATGGAGGAATTGAAAACACACAAAGTTAAACACTGGCACCAAACCTTAAAAAAAAACCCCAACCAAACAATAAAGTTGCATCTAAAAGTATTTATGAGAAGACCTGTATGATCCATCTATTCTTAATCAGCCTAGAGACAGGGAGAGAAAGCATTGGAGACACAGAAATATCAAATATCTTGCTTTTAGGGAAATGCAGTGACAATCCCCCGTCTCCACATCCATCACTCCAACACGTAAGGGAACATCAATATTTACGTAGCTGATCTGTTCCCTTTGACATCCCTCCCTCTTGAGGCTCGCAGATATTTTGGGGTTATGTCAAACGTTATCAGACACTTATGCTGCTGCCAAAGGCACATTTGTGCACTGGCTTTATCCATTTTTGTGTGACTGAGCCTGATCCCAGTCTGCCCAGGAACTCATCATGTCCTTTAAGCCAGATTATCCCCTGCTGTTTCAGAATGCTTGAGGATGGCACGTTACATTCTGATGGTTTAGGGGTTTTTTGGAGGGTTCCAGCTCCCCGTGGGACTGCACTGAAGAACTTAAACTCTGAGGTTCTCTGCCCACCCTCGTGGCCAGAAAACGGGAAAACATGATGTCAGGAGGATGCAAAATTCACCTGGATTTTGTCAACAGCAGCACTTTCTGCTTCCACCAACCAGCTGTTGGTGTTCCTGAAGGTCTCCAGGAACTGGAGAGCTGGCACATCCCAAGCTGCACATGTTAAACACTGAGGGTGTAGAGGAGGGAAAATGCCAACAATTCACCTTGGCAAAGAGTCCAATCCACACCCAGCACCCCACAATGACAACCAAATAATCTGTCCATGAATGGCAGATGGAAACCAAGGCTGTGCAAGGGCTGCTTCAAACCCTCCCAGAATTCCCTGACAGCTCCATATGTCCAGGAAAGGGTTTCCATGCTAACTGGGGAGCAGATCCCCTGCCACACAAACCAGCATCTCCCTGCCCTGGCATTGCCAGTCAGCTGATTTAATTAGTGCAGGATTAGTGTTCATGGCTGGAACATGTTATTAAAACCAGCCATCCCCTTCCAGCTCCCCTTTGGAATCTGAACATGGCTGGCTTTGTGGGGACACCCACGGCCACCCCCTGCATCAACCAGCCCTGGCTCTGGCAGCGCCCAAGCTCCCCTTGGCAGCATCAGGCGACCTCCAAAGGTCATTTTTAGCCCTGTCTTCTGTGATTTCCTGTTCTGGTTGCACATCTTACATAAGAGCCCTACTGGAGAAGTGCTGGAGAACTCCTTATTAAAGTGCAGCCACATTAGGATTAGTGCTATCATGTAGAAAGAGAGAGGTTTGCCCCAGGCACGCTTTTATTAAGCTCGCCAGAATGTTTAGGAGCTGCTCACGACCAAGGCACATGTTCTCAGGAAGTGTTGGGGCAGCAAACAGCACAGTGTTTGCATTCCTCCACACTGCCATTGCCTGAAATCCTCCCACCACAGGCTGAGATTCCCCGGGATTACAGATCCAGCACTTCCTGACTTTAATTACAAATATAATGAACTAAGCTGAGCTCGTTCAGCGAGTGTGTCAGAAGTGAGTGTGCTGATCCAAACTGCAGGATCCCCAGCAGCCCTGCCCCTGTTCCATCTGTCAGGCAGCACGTGCCGTGTTCCCTCTGAGCACACCCCGCACACAGTGCCACTCACACACCTCTGCAGTCACAACTTTACATGGATGTCACAGAACACCCTTCTCTGTTGCAGCAGCTTTTAACCAGAGATTAACTACTTACTGGAGGAACAGAAACTTTCCCTGTATTGAGGCAAGGGTTTGATACAGGAGCACTCCAAACGCTGCCGGTGTCAGCTGAGGTCACGCTCTGCAAACAGCTGGCTGGCACTGCCACACCGATGTTCTGCTGGGACACTAACCTGGGGCTGTGGGGCTGTTCTGGTGCTGGAGGTGACCAGGCTCTCCTTGCTGGGCTGTTTGATGTCCCATTAGCTCCCCTTCAGCCCCCGCTAAATGCATTTGCCACAGTATTGACGGAAATGGAGGAAATCAAAGCCATTATGCTCTTGCTGAAGCCTTTCCCACTGGCTGCCAGCTTGTTCTGGTATTGATTTACGTGCTTTATGATTGGGAAAATCTTTGTTGGCTCCATTTACTCAACTGCTGGGGTTTGTCCCCGAGCCACCACACTGTCCTTTGCTCATTGGGAGTGTCCCCAGGGCAGGAACAGCCCCTGGACTGGAAACACTGCACAAGGAGAGGGGGGTGTTCTGTGGGCTCCTGCACTGTGATACCACAGAGCTCCCTCCAGCTTCTCCCAGTCCTGCTGTACCCCCTTCAAATGACCATTTGCAGCAGAAATTGGGAAAAAAACACCCACATCTATAAATGAAAATATAAAGCTTCTCAGCAACAGCAATATTTGTGCAAAAAGCAGGGGGTCAAACTGACTGAGGTGCCAAATACATGCACTAAGTGTCGCTCCTGAACCTCACAACTCCCCCCAGATGCTGACAGTGACCCTTCTTTCCCACAGAACTGTATCTCACGGGCTCCAGTCAGCAGAAGCTGCAGCAACAGTGCAGAAAAGTTCGTGGAGCTGCAAATGTTCAGCCTGGCCCAGCAAGCTGTGGCTGGGAACACCTTGGCTCCCACCTGGCACAGGGCAGCCCAGGCTGGTGGCACACACAGAACCACTGCAGAGCCCTGAATCACTGCAGGGCTCACCTCCTGCCTCTCTGGGAGGCAGCTGCCCAGCCTGCACCTCCCCTTGTATGGGCTGCTATTCCTGGCACTCAGTCCCAGCCCCAAACGGTGCTCCCGAGAGCACAGAAACAGCAGCGCTCACAGCACCGAGCCATCGAACCACTGACCAACCTCTCCTTGCTGCACCTGCAAAACAGGTGCCAACACTCGCCCCAAGATCAATAACCACACGAGGACGGGGAGGAACAGCCAACCCACCCTCTCCCTCCTGCTCGTGTGAGTGAAACCAGCAGTTCCTGTTCTGGTTTTATGGGGGGGAAGTTTGGATGGCGAGGAAAGGGCTGGGCAGGACCCGGAGCTGCGACCCCACGACCCACAGCACCTCCATGTGCAGAGCAGTGCCA